GATAAATAATACCTCTTATACAATAAATTGAAACTTACAAGCCAGTTGCTTTTAAAGCATTGTAGATAATACCTTAAAGTTTGTGTAATTGTGTGCAGCTGTATTGTGCTTACTAAGATTCATGCTAATCCAGATAGAAGTTAAAAAACTCTAGCTGTATATTGACTGGTGTTAGAATCAAAGGGTTCAAGGTCCCTTTGATATAGAGTGAGTTTAAAGGTATTAGTTCATTCTTTTTAGTCAAATAGCTCTTGGCTGCATAAGAACTTTGTCCTTAAAGGTCCTTCATGGAGAATGTAAGAACTGTTCTAGTTTCTAAATAGAGGAACCTGGGAAAATAGCTGGCTTATAAAGATGAGTCTTCATAGCAATCCCCAGTTGTGTGTATTTTAATTTATAAAATAGAGTGATGTCTAGTATGTAGTTCAGAACTCTAGATTTGTTATTTTATTTGGAACAGTTTTTTTTTTTTTTTGGTCTTAATGGATACTGCAGGTTTTCTGTACTTAATTGTATACGGGTTTTCCACCCTAGGAAGGCGGACCTCCAAGGTTTTTAAAAACCCTTTGTTACTGTGTTTTCTGTCTAGATTAGATCACTTTCATTTTTTCAAAGATACTCCATAGAGAAATGAATGACATATAGAGATATAAAAAGGTTTTCATACACATAAACCTTTAAGACTGTTCATGGAACCTTAGTAATGTCAGTAGGAAAATTACAGCTTTATGGGTCTGGAGCAAATGTTTAAATTCACATATCAGGTTTTTAGAATTTATATACCCTAGAAAGATACTTTGACACCCCACTCCCTACTTGTGGTTCTTTTTTTTTTTTTTTTTTCTTGTGTTACTGGGGCTTGAACTCAGGGCCTTCACCTTGAGCCACCAGTTCTATTTTTGTAAAGGGTTTTTCAAGATAGGGTCTCACAGAAGTATTTTTCTGGGCTGGCTTCAAGCTGCAATCCTCCTGGTGTCTGCCTCTTGAGTAGCTAGGATTACAGATGTAAGCCACTGGCAACAGCCTTGTGGTTCTCCTTTAAACACATTTTTACTTCTAAGTTCCCCTTGCTGTCCCATTTTGTGCTATTTCTCTCTTATCAATTCAGTTACCTCATTTTAATCCCATAACTATATTCTCCTATTTGTGTTTTTTTACTTTATTCATTGCATTCAGGATTTAAGTAACCAATGGGAACTAAAAAGAAGCCTTTTGTGTTCACATTTACCTAACTTGGTTTAAGAAATATTACAAAGGAATAAGTGCTGGTTTACTAACATCTCTTACCTATTAAGGAGGGGAATTGTATTAGCACTCTTAACTGGCATTTAGTAGATTTGGAGATGAAAATGCTAGGAGTCAGAACATTTTGCTACTTCTTTGACTTAGTAGTATTTTATGGTAAAAGATTAATATAGTTTGTAGGATTTTGAAAAAGGTACATACATACAGCTATTTGTGAGGTAGCTTCTCAGGAAGATAGCTAAATACTTTGCTCAAAATGATTGCTGCAAATTCAGTCTTAAGTTTTATGATGTATACCTGATTACAACCGGAATATGATATTGAAAATGCAAATGAAATTTTATTTAACTTTTATTTTTCTTCAGTGGACTGTAAATTGTGCTGGCAGATACCACATATTCTTGGAATAAAATAATTAAGTATGTAAATAGGCATGTACTTGCTAGTTTGTTAAAAGATGACTAGATCTAAGTAGCTTAAGACTAGTCAAGTCCTTCATTGATGTATGGAAGGCCTTTATACAACTTGTTAGCTAGATATCTGAAGTTACCAACATCAGAACTTATCAGTGTACATTGCAGAATACTGAATCTGGGGAAATTTCTTGGGTTATATACTGTAATCCTGAACTGAAATAAATTGAGCTGTAAAGCCTGTAGTTAGCTGTTTGTGACCTTGTTTGTGATCTCTGTTGAGATCTTGGCTGAGTTAAATTGCACCATTTACTGCATGACGTTGTTGATCACGTTACCAATATTAGAACATTTGAGGGCACTGTGTGGGTTAGGTGACATAGTTGCATCATATTAAATGTGAAAAGCAGTGCAGGCAGATAGCATTCAAAATTCTCGAGCTTTTTAACTGACAGTATCAAGTGTTGGCAAGGACGTGGAGCAGCTGGAACTCGTAATACATTTATGCTGGTAGGAATGTCAAGTGGTAAAATCACTCTGGATTAGGCAGTCTTTTAGGTATTACACAAAAGAAATGAAACGTCCTTCCAAATATTAGTACTTGAATATTCGTAAGTCGTAAATTGGAAATCGTCCCATGTCCCATTAACAAGAGAGTGGATAAGTGAATTATCTTGAATTATTAACGAGAGTGGATAAGTGAATTCTGTGTGTGGTATACATGCACTACTTAATGAAATATATTACTAGTCAATAAAAAGGAATTACTGATTCATGTGACAGATAAATCTCAAGCATGTCTGTGACAGTGTAAGTGCTGTGTAAATAGTTACACAGTATTGTTTAGGAACAATGACAAGAAAAGTGGACTTGCACAGTTATAGCGGCAATTAAAAATATTTTTGTTCTTGGTTGAATACATAGTTGTGGAACTCACAGGTAGAGAGGGCCAACTACTGTAGTAACAGATTTAGTGTTGGCAAGTTTAGGGGTGTGTGGTGGGTGGGGAGAGGGATTAACTGCAGAGGGACATGAGAGAACTTTTTGGAGTGATGAAAGTTATGTTGGTTCCAAGGCCGTATGTATGCACGTGTCTAAACTCATTCCTTTGTTTTAGTTTGTGAATATTACACCTTAAAATTCTTTAGCTTGTTAGTGATGTCTATAAGTATCAGATAGATGGACACAAAACTAAATTTGTTTTACTTGATCTTAATACTAGACTTGTTAAGAGCTTGCTTTTGGTACATTTTAAGTTGTGTTCTCATAGATTTTGGTGTGAAGCAAGAAGCAAAGTAAAGTAATCGAAGAATGGCTATGTACTCATCAAATGATGTGGCTAGACAGATCAAATAAGTCTAGTCACAAAATAGATGTTGAAGTGAAATTATTCTGAGATAGTACATAAAGTCTCTGGTTGTGAATAAATTTTACTGTGCTTTGAATGGCACTTTGGATCAGGATGTTCATAGTGAACAGAAAAGTGGTAAGTGAAGTTTGCCATTTATCAGAGATGAAAATATATTGAACTTTAGCATAGTTACTGACAAGTTATTTAAAAAGGTATTTGTGCTTGTTCTGGTTGATACAGGATATTGCATAATTTTATTGGATACCTCTGGTAAATATTAGGAAACCTATTTATCAACTTACTGCATTTTACAAATTTACTGCTAAACAAACAGTAATTTTATTTCATACTCATGACTTTGCTTTAAAATAATGAAACATTAGTCTAGTCGTGTAGAGTGCCTACCTAGCCTAGCAAGCTGGTTTGGGCAAAAAGCAAGGACCTTATCTTTACAAGAAACCAGAGCAAAAAGAGCTGGGGTTCAAGCAGAGCACAAAGCCCTGAGACTTTAATACTCCCAAAGGAAGGGAACAATTTCATTTAAATAGGAAAGGACCAAAAATGACCATAACCCATATCAAACAAATGTTAACATTCTGAAAATGTTAATTGTAACTAAAACTGACAGTTAACCTGAAGTTAGTTCACTCCATTGTATGATTTTTGTGTTTAAATCACACATTGATGTGTAAAGTTTTGTTTATTACACAAAATTAAAGCAGGCACTATCTTGGCCATATTTTATCTTTTGTAGCTTTTTCCAGTTAAAATAATGAACTTAGCAATGTTTAAAATATTTAAAGGGCTGATTTATGTCCCTCAGAGTCTTATCAAGAGTCTGCAGTGGGAAAAGAGATGATGAAGATTTACATATAAAAACCAGTATTAATTTCTTAAAATGATGTTATGGTCTTTGGCCTTCAACTTAGTTTTTGGTTCCAAAATACCACTGTAGAGTCAAATGTTACACTAAATTTGTTAGTCTTTTTTTACTGCCTAATGCTTTTTATTCTTGTTTAATTTTGCTTTGGATTAGGATTGGAATAGTTTCACATAAATAACCTAATTTGGGAACCATGGGGGTAGTGAGAAATTGTGGTCGGGAAGTGGAAACCTAAGGTAGACATTTTCTGGAGAGAGACTAAGTGGTATGTATTTTGAATTTGAAAGCGAATCATACTGGCTTAAAAGGTATGCTGGATGTAATTGTTGGTGGCTGTGGTTAAAGATAACTGTACTTTGGTATAGTGGTTCTTTTTTATTGGGAGGACCTGTCATGTATCTGTCACTACATGTATTTCCCCCCCAAGACTCAGAAAGCTTTGCTATTAATGCTGTAATATTCTAGTTCTATTGCAATGAATACTAATGGTTATGTGCTCTCTCTTTTTTTTTTTTTTTGGGTCATCTTTGGTTCTGGGGATCAAACCCAGGGCGTGATAAGCAAACACTCTACCACTGAGCCACACCCCTGCCCTGGCCATGCCATTCTATATATGATATTTTAGTTAGCATCTATGGTCATGTCTCACCTGGTATGTGCTTGAATATACATAATCTTCCCCTTTTCTAATGACTTACTGGCTTTGAAATATCCACTTAATAGTTCTATAATGTGACAGATACATGAGGCCTAAGTTAGTGACTCAAGAATATGAGTAAAATGTGTGCTTTTAGTTCACAGACTGATGACTATTGTGAGTGAAAAACTTTGTTTTTGTAGTCAGTGGTCAACAAGAATGATTTTGTTGAATAGCTGAGGTAGTATAGATACCTATATATGCTATACGGCATATGCTGTTTGTGAATGTATGCCTCCTCACAGAAAAGAATTCCTCACAGAATGTTAGTTTTCTGTATGTTATTTGAAGGGGGATAGTTTGGATAGAGGTCCTCTTAAATGTTCCTAATAATAATAAAAGCCAGACCCTTTTTTTTTTTTAAACTTTTCCCTTTACCGTGCCAAATTTTAACTTTTTTTTTTCTTCTAGAACAAATTCTGTACAACATAAAACAAGAATATAAGCGCATGCAAAAGAGAAGACATTTAGAAACTAGTTTCCAACAGACAGATCCAGGTTGTAGTTCTGATGCACAGCCACATGCATTTCTCCTCAGTGGACCAGCTTCACCAGGTAATAATAAACTTTAATAAGTGAAAAAAAATGTTATTCAGGATGGGAAGAGTGTATTTCAAATACTTTCAATCACTTAAGCTCCCATTTTTGCTCCAAGATTAAAAAATTATATAATATATAATATCTTAAAAATAGAGTACAAAGTAAGTCATCATAATCTGGATTCCCACTGACCAAAGACAGCCAAAGTGGGCATCATATAAATACTATGATTCTTAGCCTCCATTCAAAAGTTTGTAACAATATTCCATATGCCTTCTTTATTAGGTATAGATGTACCTTGCATGGCCGAACACTTTCCATTTTATAGATTTCCTGTACTTAACCTGCCAGTTTGAACCAGAAATTCTGCTGTTACATGATTGTAGAAATATCCCTATATACGCACTCTCACATACTTGTCCTATTGGGCTGTATTCCTAAAAGCAGAGCTTGATCATATACCTCATCTTACCTACCTTTTGGAGGGAGTGGTTTGCAAATAAGTTTTTCTTTTGAGGCAGAAAAATAAGGGGTATTTGAAGTGAAGGGAAGGGTGAAGCTTCTTGGCTGAAAAAAGAGCCATCTGAAGTGACTCTTAACTTTAGCAACTAAAGTCCTCAACATTTTTCTTACGGACGCAGTTACTTTCCCTCCCCTCATTAGGGATAGGAAAATCCTGGCAGAATGAAAAAAAGCCATTTAAAGCCATAACATAGTCAAATAAAATTAGATCAGAGAACATGAAACTGTTCAAAACTACTGCAATACTCCTGCCATTTTGGAGGGTTTGGGTATAAGTGGGTGAACATAGTAAGGGCAGGTGACTATTCTCAGCAGGAAATCAGTATCATTTCATTATTAGTTTATTTCTTATAAGATTGGCAGTCTTAGTAAAGCTGGGAATTTGAAATTAAGATATCATTAGTAGTTATGGACTAAAGCTGGTGTACTTTATTTCTGTAGTAGACAACAGTTCTAATTAGACCAGTTAACTGGTTCCAGCCATTCAAGCTGGAAGGAGCAAATGAAGAAAAGAGGAGGTACCAGGAACAAAAACACAGATAAAGATGAAGAAACAATCAGTAGCAAATAAATGTGCTTGTATGTGTATAGAATACTTGCAGCAGTATTATAAGGATGGCTCTCATAATACTGATTTCTCAAAAAGGTTAATGGTAGATGTTGAGAAGTTGGCAATGTTGTTTTTGGAAGAAGAGAGTACTTTAAATGATCCTTGAAGAGGAATGCACTTCTGAAGAAATGTTTTTAAAATGGAAGTATCTCTCTATCTGATAATACCAGGTGGTAGTCTTAAGGACTCTGAATCATAAAATGTAAATGTTAAATATTAAGTCTTTATCATCAAGCTTTATTTTTAAAAAATGGCTTCCTAGCAGATAACAGTAAATAAAAACAGAGGCTGTTAGAAAAAAGAAAAAAATTCAGGTAGGCAAGAAAATCAGTGCTCCCTCCTTTAAGAGATCACAAAGTAACCTTTTTTTCAGAATCTTTGCTCATGAATCAGCTTATACAGAGATGCTTGACATCCTGTTCTCCCCTAAAGCTCTTCTTAATAGACCTAAGTTTAGTGTCTTAAAAATTATTACCATAAAATAGTATTTTCCCTTTAAAAATTTCTAGTAGGTAAGACTTGCTAATTTAATGAAATCGACAAACAGGTTTTTAGCTGTTTTGGGATATAGTTGTTTTAGAACACTTAGTATAATGATGTAGTACTGTTACAGTTTTGAGTATATCATTATTAGCTCAGCATTTGAGCTTTCATTTCCAGGTAAGTTACATTAACTGGGAGTGATACAAGTTGGGAGTTACGATCACTGTTAAACCACTTTTAGAATCAGTTATGCTCCTTCAGCAAGGGAATAAATATCTAGATTCCAGAATGTTTTCTATAGTAAATCCAAAAGGGTTTATGCCATATAATTTTTTTTTTTTAAATGAAGGGAAACGTAAGTTAAGGGGTTTGGAAAATGAAGGAGTACTGTAGTAAAATAACCCCGTTGTGTTCATTTTCTGTGTGGCTTTTAAGTAAGTCTTTTTTTTTTTTTTTTAAACAGCATAGTCATTTGTTACTCTGGTACTAATAAAATGAAGCTTTACACTAGAGATGGTCTTTATTTTGTGGGAAAGTTTGTAAATCATACACAAAAGTGTTTGTAAACCACACACTTCTGGTAAGGTATTTGCTAGAATGGAGACAAAGAGTTTTGTAAGGGGACCCATCACTGTAATTGTCTTGAAGTCTTTTCCACTGATGTTTAGTTTTTTCCTTATACACAATTACATCTTGCTATATTTTTCCAGTCACAGGCTGATAGAATCATTTAAACCTGTTTTAAGTCTTGGGAAATCCTGTGCTAAAAACTGATGTTTAAAAATGTATTTATGACATTGAAAAGATACAAATGAAACCTTCATTTGGAAGATGCTTTCTGTCATGGTTCTAAAGCAGGTGCTGTTTTTTGTTCATGTTATACATAGGAACTGCATCTGCAACATCCTCACCATTAAAAAAAGAACAGCCCTTATTTACTTTACGGCAGGTTGGGATGATCTGTGAACGTTTGTTGAAAGAACGTGAAGAGAAAATTCGAGAAGAGTATGAAGAAATACTGAACACAAAACTTGCTGGTAAGAGATGTTTGTCTCCCAGAAACTCATTGTAAGAAATCTGTTATTTCCCACATGTACTTTATGTCAATTAAACTACTTTTTCTATACACTGGTAGTATAGATCAACTTTCTTTAAGCTCACACCCCACCTTAGAGACCTCAGGAACTAGCTATTCATATAGATTAGCAGTGGTATTCGTGAACTCGATTTTTTTCATGTATATCCTCTGCTGAAAACTGACTTCAGCTGTTTACTTCAACTAGGTTGTGGATTTCTGAACTATATCTTTCATGATAACCTTTTCATCACTATAGACATTGGACATATCTTGTTGGTTGGCACTGTATACATCAAGCTGTGTACTTTTTAATTACCAAAAAACTTAGGTGAAATTTGATAATTTAAGTGTGGTAAATAAAATTATTCATGTAATTTGATCTTTTATTTTTTTTAAATTTTAAGATGGAAATGGTGAAATGGCTCATTGATAGGCCCTGAGTTCAAACCCCAGTGCTGCCAAAAAACCCCCCCAAAAACAAAAAAACCCTTAATTTTAAAATGGATTTGATTGTATAAAGCCATTCTAAGCTTTTTGATTCTTAAGGCATTAAAACAAGGTGTAAATACAGGCAAGAGCATCTGCTTGCATAATGTTTCTGTGATAGATGACTAGGGTAGATGGATAGTTTTTGTTAAATTGTTTCCTCATCACAGTGTTGCCATTCATAGATCACTTACAATAAAACTCTCAGAGTAGAAAGTTAACTGTTTATTTCATCATTAGGAAGTAAGTGCCACCAAAATGTATATGAGGCCATGTGATTTGGTCTCAAACCTTGGTTGTATGCTGAACTTTTCAGTTCTGCCGATACTCAGGATAGATTTTTCTTTGGTTTAATATCCAAGGTATACTACTGAAGTTTTTTGCTTTTTTTTTTTGCATTAGAAACAACCATTTTGGATCTTTAAGTAATTTCATTGGCCATATTTAACCACTGACCATCTGTCACCTTGACTAAACCCACTGCCCTTTCCATTTGATACACTACTAACTACTGAGGTTATGTGAGTGGTTAAGATATCCATTTAGAATTGTTTCACTCACTGTGTGCTTAATCTGGCTCTAATATATTAGGGTGTTTTGCAAATCATGTATTTGACATGTACCTTTATTTGTAGAACAATATGATGCATTTGTGAAGTTCACGCATGATCAGATAATGCGACGATATGGAGAACAGCCTGCTAGTTGTAAGTATTTGACATTTGAATTTATACTCTGAAAACAACACTGTCTTTTAAGGAGGAAAAAATTATTTTTTTGTATTCAAGACAACAGTTTAACAGAAAATCATGAAGACAAAAGCCTGGAGGAAATAAGTAACAAAACTTTGCTAGGTTTACTTTTGGTTACTTAAATACCTAGGCGCAATATTGGGAATGAGTATCTGGTATGTTTGAATTTTGTTTGGAAGATAATTGAATTTGGCCAGTTCTTTGTTCTGATTTTCCTTTCTCTCCCTTTAGATGTTTCATGAATCACGTTACCTGCATTTGTGGGCTGCCTTGTTCCCTGTTGAGTTGTTGCAGGAGGTCCTAATTATGAGATGCAGCAATGCCAATATACCCCTCTGTGAATACAGGTTATTTCAAGCTTTTGTCAGTGGCAACCACTCTTAGGCAGCAGCAACTGGTTTTGGAAATTTCCCTGATGTCATTACCACCTGGATGTGGACCTTTGCTACCTGTATTAATAACAGTGGCCTCATTTTGCTGTATCATTACAATTTGGCTTCTTATATTAATGTGTTTGAAAAGGATTAAAGCTGGTATTCTAGAACATGTTCTTCACTGGTTGTGTAAATAAAACTGTAGAATGACACTTGATGAAGTTAGTGTGACTTTAATTGTGCACTACAACCAAGCCTGTAACCAGTTATTAATTTAGAATGTAATTCCAGGACAATATTAAGCAAATAGCCTACAGTGCTTCCTACGAAATAGTGAAGGAGGGCATTTCTGTATTCCAGGACTTTTTGGGGTTTCAGAATGGGTTTATATGATTTTCTTTTTTTGGTAGTTTTATTTATTCTATCAGTCTTTTTAACAAATGTTTATTGCTGCATTTTTTTCCCCAAAGTGTATCATTGTTTTACTGTACTGGAATTTAGTTGGAAGAATAAAACATTTACTTATGTTCTGCTTGTTTTTTAAATGTACAGAAGGGGTAGTATTTGAATAAAGCCAGTGTTTTAAATGTAAGCCTTTTGCAGTAATCAGTGAAGTTAATTTTTTGGTAAGATTCACAATTTGAGTTCTGTTTTCAAAAATTCAGGTATGATGTGAAATTGCTTCTTGTATATAACTTACTGCATGATAGTATACTTCTAACAGCTGTAGAGTTTTTATCTCAGATACCAATAGAATCCAGTTTTTGTTTTTTTCAAAAGGAAAAAACAAAGCTGAAAGCATGATTCCGCAAATGTAACTCACTTTCCATGCATGGTTGCCAAACATAATATAATGAAGCGGGGGTGGGGAGGAAACCTTAATTGAACTCTTCTGTTGAATTCTAATATACCATATTTCTACTCTTTTCACCAATCCTAAATGGTCTGGAACTTAAATACCTGACCCAATTAGTGGAAGAAATTATATTTCAGTTAACTTTTAAATCAAGCCCCAAAAGTGGTGTAGGCTTTTCACAAAATCCCCAAGGTAATCTTAAATCCATTAGTGTTTGAGAAACATTGGTTATATAGCATAGGGTGGCCATAAAGTGGATAGATCTACCTGACCTGATTCTCAGTCTTGGCACTATTAGCTAGCACTTTGGCACAGATCATGATTTGTTGTGGGAGTTGTATCTGTGCATTGCAGTGTGTTTAACCACATCTCTGGCCTTCAATGTTAGGTAAGATGCCAGTTAAAATCATCCCTCCCCCTTGTGTATACAGCCTCCAATTTATTCCCTCCAAATTGAAAGAATAATGACCCACTTCAATTGAAGTTTTAGTTTTGCCATGTTTATATGTACATAAGACTATTAACTATTTCAAAGATAGTCATACACGTTAAAATGTTTAATGTACTTAAAATAACCTCAGTACCATTACCCCACTTAAAATACTTCCTTAAATTTATCATGAAATCCATAGTCAGATTTATCACAGTGTTTTATTTTTCAGTCGTCTTGCCCTTTGGGATTCAGTTAGGATACTAATTTTCTAGGTCTGTTGTCTTGTTGAATTATTTTATCATGAATGCAACCTTTCTATCCTTTTAAACTGATTGTACAATGTAAGTCTAAAACTGTTACAATTTTCGGGCTAAACCTTTTGTGTAAGACTGCAAAGTGATGCTATGGCTTCCATTTATAACATACAATGCATGGCCTTTCCAGGATCAGTGTTAAGTTTGGGTACTTGATTATCAGTTCATCTGACAGGTGATGCCTCTCGGGCTTTGTCTTCACTAGTCCATTACTCTTATTTGTAAAGTCACCACAAAGATTTCTGCATTGTTAAATCCAATCAACAAATAGCATTTGGCCTTGAAATTCCAGTTACCTTCCAAGTTGCTACACTTGCCTTAGTTCCACTGCTGTTCTGAGTCTGAATCTTTTGCTGCTGGTCCAGTCTTCATTTCCCTGAACTTTAATACTACACAGGCATGCCCCAGAGCTTGAACTTGGGCTCCTTCCTTCTTTTCATTCTCATTTTGGTAAACTCATCTTTATTATAATGACACCAGATTATATTCACCTCTCGATGTGACATCTCTATTTGGATACCTAACAAGATATCTCAAGATTTATTCCCAAGCCCAAACTCCTTCCAAACACCCCTGTTTATTACCTTTCTGTCAGTACAATAAAATACTTGAGATAATTAACTTATAAAGGTCCCACGGTTTTAAAGGTTCCGGTCCATAGTCAATTGTCCTTACTACTTTAGGCCTGTAGTGAGGTAACACATGTCAAGAGGTGCACAATGGAGCATAACTGCTTACCTCATCATCCAGTAAGCAAAAGGTTAAAGAGGAGTGGTTAGGATATACTCCAACAACCTAAGGGTAGGACTTAGTTTTAAAGGTTCCACCCTTCCAATAGCACCATCCTGAGAACTAACCTTTTAACATATGGGCCTTTGGGGGAAAACAGCCAAATCACAGCAAACCCCCAATTGTAATAGCAATGCCATACCAGTTTTTTTTTTTTTTAAGCTAAAGTCTAACTCTCACATCCATTTAATAATATTGGTTCATTTAAAGCATCAACTACACTGCTGTTACCCTAGTCCAAGACAAAGTTTGCCTAGATTATTTTCAGTGGAACTGGTTTTTGTTTCACTTCTTTTGTGCCTCTTGCCCACCTCATTCTATTCTCAAAATAGCCAGAGTGATCATTTAAAGATCTAAGTTTTAGACTGCTTCCTACCTAAGAAAGAGACATTACAATTGTTTTCAGAGTACTATATTAACCTATGCTCCAGCATACCTCATTCCATTTTTATTGAATTACTTTTACTCATGCTGCTTTACCTTACCTACACTGGCCATCTGTGCTGTTCCTCCAACGTGGCTGGCATACTTCTGCCTTAGGATCTTTGTTCCTGCTGCTGTTCTCGCCTAGAGTGTTCTCCCATAAAATTTTATGGGTAATTAACTCTAACACCACTTTTGAGTTTTTGCTCAAATGTTATTTCAGTCAGGTCTGCCCTGACCACTCTTAAAAACTGCAATATGATATCCTGTTCTCCTTACCCTGTTTCTTTTTTTCTATTAACAATTGTCTGTTCTACTTTATTAGAGTACAGTGAAGGCAAGGGTCTTTGTTACCTGATACCACAAGGGCACATGGTCTATGCTAAATATTTTTTGAATAAATTTTAAACTACAACAGTTTTAGATTAATAGTTTCATTAAAAGTATTTTTATTAAATCAGAATACCCCATTTGTAAGTTTTGTTGAGGTTTTTGGTTTTTCTACATTGGGGAATGGACACAGCCTTGAACTGACAAGTCAAGGTTCTGCACCACAAATTTGTTCTATCTTTTCATTTTATAGCTCTTTTGATTATTCACTATCAAAATAGGACTGTTTCCATCATGCTGCTCTCTTAATCTTACAGATGTAAATCTGCTAGTTTTTGCGAGGCCAGTCCCTCTGTATGTAATATGTTAAGCATCTTGCTGTATGAGTATTTAAATGATTTCTAAATTTGATCTGGTGCTCATCTGTGCCAGTTAAGCAGGAGAGAAACCTCGTTTTACATGGTGGTTTGAATCCTCATTAACATAACTGGAGTATAGGAAAACCTTCCCCATGACTGACTGTCTCAAAGAGGTGATAGAAAATCTTTGAAATCATTTACAGATCCTTTCCCTAGATTTTTTTTAACCAACCATTGTAAAAAAAGGAATATGTGGTTGAGAACACATTTGACTGAAGGGGAATAAACAGAATATTGCAAAAAAATATTGAGGTTTTGCTGTAAAGATAAATCATGGAATCTCACTGATTTTAGACAATAGGAATTTATTCTTTAATAATACCCTTTTGCAGGTTTCATGCCCTCAATTCAAGGACCCCTAGGAAGACAGGTTCTGCCTTTGATACAAGGTATCAAAGTACTTCATTACAGTGAGGTTTTGTGTTTACATATCATAAATTCCTTACTATGGAGTTGTCTTGTATGCATATACAGTGTTTAAATTCTCCTGAATAAGAAATTCTGGCATCTTGGAGCTGAAGACGGTAAGATACTTATTCAAACTAATTGTGACGATAGTCTAACTCAAAGTCTACTGGGAATACATTCTGCTCTGGCTTGCTGTTCTTTTATTCTAGTACCTTGGGGGTTTCCTTCCTTTTTCAATGTTTGGCAACATTTCTGACAATTTGTTTTTGGGATATATTTCATCAAGCACTTTGATGTGTTTGAAGCTAGACAAAGGCACCACTTATTCATTTATGTCACCTAAATTCATGTTGCCAGAGTGTAAGACATTAGTAATATGACATTAGTGTAAGACACTAGTATATTAGACATATAGTAATTTTATATAATAAACCCTTATTAATACCTTTTATACTACAGAATTAATAAGGTTTAGTTACATACTAAAATTGTCCTTAAAGTGCAAATGCATACACATACATGCCCTGCAACTGCAGTTAATGCTAAGGTTTACTAATAAAAAGTTTTCTGAACATGTACTCCACCCCCCCAGCCATACTTTTCATGGTAGTTTTTGTGGTAAAGTTAATTTTTTTGGTAATGTTAAGCCCCAGAGTTCTCTTTGGAGTACAACATTAAGTAATGAGCTTTAAGTGTATTTTGTTTCATTATGTCTTGATTGGTTCTTGCCATGGGAAATACCAGACATTTCATCTGGGTCTTGATTTCCTTATCTGGGCTTTGTGTTTGAGTTGTGACTTGTCAAAGCCTCACTGGCTCCATGACTCCATGATAAGTCTTCTAGCAGTTGAATATTTGCTGCCTTTTTAAATGTAAAGCCAAAAAGCTTGGGATCTTCTAAGACTAATGGAAACGGGGAGGCAGAGGCAGTTTTAGATCTTTTGTCAAAACAAAGAAGAAACAAACCTGTAGGTCATTAATACTCAATATTTTGAAGTGAGGAATACCAAAACCAGAAATCTGGAGGAAGAAAATGAGTGCTGTTATACCAATCATAAATAATTTATATTCCTGGATAAATAAATTTCATTTGCATACTATATATTCAAGAATGACTTACTCATAACTTAGTAATGGCTTGTGAAAAGTACACTGACAATATGAGAAATTTTAGTTATTATGTAAGCATGTTATTTGTTGTATTCTGAAGTAGACCAAAGATGAGTGCACTTTGTTTACACATAAGATTTCTCACTAGAAGTCTCCTGTGGTGACATGTAAGTATGACTGGTCTCCTTTCTCTCTTAAATTAGATGTGATGCTCCAGACTCACTCATTTGATTTCTAGCAGCCTCCCCATGTTAGCCTTGCCACATGGTCAGTCTTCTGTTTGGTAGGTTTTATGAAGCCTAAAAGTTCTAGTTCAGAAACAGCTCTAATAAACCGAGCGCTGGAGACTCTAGATAAGGAAACTGACTTGTGTTGTTATTTTTGACAAAAGGGATATTCAATCTAATATTTCAAGTTAAAATATTAGTTGGCAAACAAGCAGGTAGCTGAAACATTCCTAAATTAACTTATAACTCTTACAGAAAAACATTAAATGTAATTAAAATATGACAATAAGATATGATTAAGAAAAAGTATTAAAACACTTCCTAAATCTAAACTTTCAGATAGTATAAAAATTGCCCTCTCCCACTTCCAAACAAACATTAGAAAAGTAGAGAATTCAATAATGACAATTTCATTTTTGGTAAATTTTGGAATATGATTTTGATGTAAGTTTGGCACCAAATAGATAATGTTGTTCTGCAGAGCTACATTTCCAAGTCCAAGAAACTAAACTTACTATGCCTTGTTCCTGGACATTGTGGAACTGGTTTTAAAAGGATACTGGATAATTTCATTCATTTCTTCTGAAGTTGCAGAATTTGCATCTATTTTTTCAGCAGCTGTCACAACTGTTGCAAAAGCCTTTTGAGTACAAAAGACAAGAGGAAAATAAAAATCTCTGTAGCTGCCAAACATCTTTTTCTGTATTCCCTTTGATGACTGTATAATGAAGCCAAGTTTAATACTGCTGCTTCCAAATAGTTGGCATATTTCTTGATAGTACTGGGGTTTAAACTCACGGCCTCATGCTTGAGCCCTTTTTATTTTTCAAATAGGGATTGGCATTTATGCTCATGCTGGCCTGGACTGCAATCTTCCTATTTATGTTTCCTGGATAGCTGAGGTGTCAGGCACGCCACCACACCCAGCTTTCACTGGTTGAAATGGAGTCTCATGAACTTTCTGGCTGGGTTGTCCTCCAGCCATGATATTCCCAATCTCTTGCCTCCATGCCTAGCCTATTTCCTTTTTCATTCCTCAAAACTATACTGATGACCATTTTAAAAGTTACACATTAAAAGATAACGTAATCATTCTGAATAATCTTGTTTCAGAGAACAAAAAAAATATGCAAAAAAAAAAGAAACAAAGCTAGTCAAAGTTAAAAGGCCAAAGAAAGCCCTGTATCTTCTACTCGCAATCTCCCTTGACTGTCCCAGGAAAAGCCTTTTCCTCGGAAGCAACGAATTAGGGTTTTTTTTTTTTTAAATGATGATCAGACATCAGATGAATAGGGCCTTCAACAGAGTTAAGATCTCTGTAACAGCATTCTGAAAAAGAGTATTTACTTTAAAGAACAGCAACAGTTATCCACTGCCTTGCCAAGCATTTCTTGTATTTCCTGATTGCTAAATCTTGTGTAGTCATTCCAATTATTTTTTATGCAAAAGGGAAATACTAGTTAATAATACACTTCTTAATTTTGTAGGAATGCCACAAAATGACCTAAATTGTTTAGCTTTTGCTTAAAGCTAACCAGGAGGTCAGATCACATACTTCATTTGACCTGGCATAAATACAGAATTGGCTGGGTTAAGGAATGTATGATCAGAGAGCAGGAGATTGGGAGTGGGGATTGCTGAGCTGCTACTTCCTAAGGAACATTTGAAGAATGAACAAATTTATGCTTTCTAAATAAAAGACATTAAGAGATAAAAGATGAGTTCGAAAGTACAAAAAATATAATAAAAATATTCTAAGAAAGTTGTCGAGTGCTTAGACAAATACACAGCTTATTATTCTCCTTCACCTACCTCTGACCAGTCTACAAGGTTGATTAGCCTGCTACACTCCAGGTGCAGTTTGTATGCTATGCAGATGTCAGGAGCGATATTTGGAATGCAGCCTTCTTCACTTTTCAGGGCTTCATTCTAAAAAAAAAAAAACATCACAGTAAGCTAATGACTACATTCTATTATTTATTTATTTATGTATTTATTTATTTAAATGACTACATTTTACGAATGATTAGGAACAAAATGAGTTAATCAGTTCAATAGTTAAAGTTCTTATTTAGGCTTAGGTCTTAGTCACAATCTCTCTAGCTCTTAGTCATTAGAAAAATATTCCCAGGTCAGAAGACAAGCAAATTTTTCATTTTAATCATAAATTATTTTCTGAGACCATAATACATTTTTGATTACCATACCAAATTTATGGAATTCTTTGGGGATATGCAATAAAATGGTTGTCATTTATTTTCAAGTATTTGTCAAATTCTAGCAATTATTACACTGTATTAGTAAACACATCTTACAGAAACCATCAATAGTTTTTCAATCTATTTGAAATTCATTCAGAAACAAAGTCACATAGATAACCTGCACAAGATATTATTCCTCCAAAGACTGCTGAAATCACATCGGTTTTTTTTCTGTGACCCCCCACTATTACTAGCAAAGAGGGTACAGATCGTCTAATGGTTTTAACTTGTGATTTATATATTAAAAGTACTTGTGTTTTGTTGAATGATATGAAATCATTCATACTCCCTACTACCACCATCATTTGAAAACCACTGACTTAGTATTTTCTTGTAGTAGTTACCATGCTTGTGTGTGATTTCTCAATGGGAAACCAGTACTTTAGGATATTTTTCATAGTTTTTGTGGAATTACTTAAGTAACTTTTTTAAAAAACAGCATTTTCTCTAGGCAGTTAACTGAGTTAATTTATAAATTCTTCCCAAATTATTTCACATACACATATACATATAATTTATAGTATGTATGTATACATCCATAATACACTATACACGTATAATGTATATTATGTATGATTCTATATTATATACATTGGATGCACATGTATAATGTATGTAATATATATATACATATACATAACATATACATACATATAAAAGCTATATTTAAAGTACTCATGTGACCTGCCATGAGAAAGGTAGTTTTAATCTCTCTCACTAAAGAGCTGGTAGGAACTGGCAACGGCCTGGAATTTAGGCAAGTAGCTCTTCTGCGGTGCTGTGTTGCCCCAGACGTTTTGCCAGACTGCTGGCCATGCTCAACATTCAGCTCTGCAGATACTCTCAGGATAGATTTTTCTTTGATTTAAAATCCAAGGTGAAATACGAAAGTATTTTTTTCCATTAGAAACAACCATTTTAATCTTTAAATAATTTCACTGAGCCACATTGTCTGCACCGACCATCTCTTATGCCTGTAGGAAATGTTGCCTTTATTCTCACAAAAGCAAGCAGCGTTATATTCTCAGATTTGTTCCTATGATATGGTTTTATTATATGAAAGGCACACAGTTTGCGTATGGTCAAAGATAAGCAGTACCAGTTGACCAGTGATTGGTATTTTCACTGATTTAGAAGATCTCCCTAGGCTGGTGGAGTGGCTCAAGTGGTATAGCGCCAGCCTAGAAAATCTCTCTAAAGTCTAAAGAGTTTTAAAAACAAATGAGAAGTGCAACCCTGAGCTGCCAGCTTCCTGTTCATTAAAACAGAACTCAAAGTTACAATATTTTTGTGACAATTAAGCCCAGACCTAAGCTTCACTCAGAAGTGAATCTGCTTCTTACCTTCAGATAATAGTAAGGATTGTTGAGTGCAGTGTGGAGGGCGATTCGCGGAGCAGCATTTAAGTGCTCACGAAGGGTGTGGGCAGCACCGAAGTACAGCACCTCTTGCAGAGGCTGAGTCTCGGGAGGCAGAAGGTATTTTCTGAAGCAGCCAAAGTCAGGTATATGACAAAGGTTTATTTTCAATATGACAGTTTTGTCAGTCCTCTATGGAGGACTGAACACTTTACTTAGAAAGTAAAATCAACAACTAAACAAAACAAAACTCAAGATATCAGAACCAGTACAGATGCACTCAGAATTGTATGTCACCCTATGATTCTTTTATAAGCTTCCTCTACATTCTTAAAGTACAAAAAAACTATGTATTTTACTTCTGAGTTAAACTTAGAAACAAAATTTTTATATAGATATATACTTATATCTGTTGAGAAGGAGCCTGGTAAACTTTTTATGTGGGCTGGCCTTGAACTGTGATCCTCCCGACCCAAGTGGCTGGGATTATAGACAATGATCCACCATGCTCAACCTTAATAAATTTTTTAAATTATTTAGAAAACTGAGCTATCCACGTTCTCTACCATAGCAAACAATCTACTCTTTCTTGGCAGTGTTAAACACAGGCCTTAGACCTAGAATTGAGAGATTAGTAAATTCTTTTGAGATGACCAAAAAAAAAAAAAAAAGGTTTAGTTGATCTCTTTCATGGCTGTAACACCTTAGGAATTTTTTATACCTAAGAATTATTTACTTTAGAAGATAGCAAAACTAAATTTTAGTTTTAGAATAATGAAAAACAAATTATTCATCAATAAAATTTCAATTACTATAAAAACCCGGCATAATTTAGGACTCTTATTTTTCACCTATGAGCTAGATGGCAAACCAATTTTAATGAAATTTAAATTTAAAAAATAAGGCATTAAAAAATTAATTTTAAATCTTTTAATGAGCCCATCAGCTGCTCTGTGCTATGATGGTGATATTACCCTTAGGTGACCTTCAGGTAGAACTTTTGGCACAGACAACCCAAAGATCTAGTTATAAACTGAATTAAAGTAGTTAACTCATATGCTGTCATAAAGATTCCTTGGGCTAGTCCTGACCTTATTAAAGTGCGCTAACCAACAGACTGCCACTCCTTTCCCTGTAAAAGCAGTTACCATAGACTAGCCACCACAGACATTATTCCTCTTCTTCCAGGTCCTTTCTCCTCTCCTCCTGGAGAGGACACTACTTCCTGGAAAAGCCACCTACACTTGCTCTACTAGAAGAGAGGAAGTAAGAAGGGCATTCAACACATGCATCACTCCTTTTTTTTTTTTTTCTTCATTTTTCTTTTATTATTCATATGTGCATACAAGGCTTGGTTCATTTCTCCCCCCTGCCCCCACCCCCTCCCTTACCACCCACTCCCCCCCCTCCCGCTCCCCCCCCCAATACCCAGCAGAAACTATTTTGCCCTTATCTCTAATTTTGTTGTAGAGAGAGTATAAGCAATAATAGGAAGGAACAAGGGGTTTTGCTGGTTGAGATAAGGATAGCTATACAGGGCATTGACTCACATTGATTTCTGTGCGTGGGTGTTACCTTCTAGGTTAATTCTTTTTGATCTAACCTTTTCTCTAGTTCCTGGTCCCCTTTTCCTATTGGCCTCAGTTGCTTTAAGGTATCTGCTTTAGTTTCTCTGCGTTAAGGGCAACAAATGCTAGCTAGTTTTTTAGGTGTCTTACCTATCCTCACCCCTCCCTTGTGTGCTCTCGCTTTTATCATGTGCTCATAGTCCAATCCCCTTGTTGTGTTTGCCCTTGATCTAATGTCCACATATGAGGGAGAACATACGATTTTTGGTCTTTTGGGCCATGCTAACCTCACTCAGAATGATGTTCTCCAATTCCATCCATTTACCAGCGAATGATAACATTTTGTTCTTCTTCATGGCTGCATAAAATTCCATTGTGTATAGATACCACATTTTCTTAATCCATTCATCAGTGGTGGGGCATCTTGGCTGTTTCCATAACTTGGCTATTGTGAATAGTGCCGCAATAAACATGGGTGTGCAGGATGCATCACTCCTTACCAGCTCCCTCCTCCCATGTCAAGAGCTCCTAACCCCTTACTCCTACTTCCAGACACTTTCCTTCTCCAGATTCCACAGGAACAAAACCCATTTGCAAACAGTGTATGCTTTTGAGTCTCACTAAGGACGAGCACTCTGCTATCATCTCAGTTACTCAAGATTGGGATAATTCAGCTATGGCCTCAGGAAATGCTTTCTGTGATACCTTCCTGGATGGCTGGATTGGTAAATCTGAAAGTTCTGACCATAAACAGAACTTTTTATACCTATACCAACCTCATGCAGTTACTCCATGTGGCTATCACTAAAAGAAATGTTGAGGGCTGGGGCATCATTCTCAAGTGGTAAGGTGCTTGTGTAGCAGTGTGAAACCCTGGGTTCAAGTCCCAATATGTGTGTGTGTGTGTAAGAGACATTACTGAAGTTCCAACATGTAATGAAGATTAGAAATCTAATTAGGCAACCAAAGTCAACTATAGAACCTCAAACTATTATCTCACATTTGTACTTCTATCCTTTTAAAATATCTTTACATTTAATGCTTGAAATCCATGTAAATCCCAAGATTTTTTGGATATCTTCAAATAAAGTATCTGCTTTTATTTTCTTTGCACTGGGCTATATTAGTTGAACAACAGTGATAAAACAGTATCATACAATTTTTGTCCAATGGGTTGGTACAAAAATATACTATTACGTGTATTTGCTGTGATAAGAAATAAGCAGATCACTGTGTGATGCTCATTCTGAATTCACATCAGGGTTTGTAACAAATGATAGGCCCTCTCCCAATGGGATGACTTGAGGGAACTTGTAGGATTTGTTAGCAACATAAGCTACAAAGTTGAAGCATGATTTTGGTGAAAACAGTAACTTAGAAAGTGGCCACTCTTTTGGCAACTTATTCTCACCTGTCAGTATTTCTGTCAAGAGCTGTTAACTGTGACCTCTTGCCTCCTGCTTATTTTTAGAAGATGTCTTTCTCTAGACTTCTATAACCTCTGTTAATAAATCTGTACTGTGGCCCTTGGATGCAGTGTGGAGAAATGAAGAGGGCCTTTTGACCTCATTTCTCCATTCCTCTCCCTCTCTTTCTTTCCTTTTCCCTTTTAGCTTTAACAAGTTAAAATCCTAGTCACTTCCCTCTTGGGACAGACAATCTTGGTAAAGATATTAAGTTCTAGGAGTCTTTACTCCCATTTCTTGCACAGGGAGCAGGAAATGTTTCTTTCTTCACCCACCCCCACTTCTCCCTACTTTATCCTGTAATACTAAGATAAATCCTTAATAAAATTTCTACCTTCTAGCTGGGCACCAGTGGCCCATGCCTGTAATCCTAGCTAGTTGGGATGCTGAGATTGGGAGGATTGAGGTTCAAGGCCAGTCTGGGTAAATAGTTAACAAGACCCCATCTCTAAAATTACCAGAGCAAATGGACTGGAGGTGTGGCTCAAGCAGCAGAGTGCCTGTTTTGCAAGTGAAAAGTCCTGAGTTCAAATCCCAGTTCTACCAACAAAACTTCTACTTTTGAGACTCCTTGGTGTGAGATACCCTGAATGCTTTTCATGTTTGTGGGTCTCAAGGACCTGTGGTTTTGTGTGGGAACTGGGCAGCTGTGGGAACCCCTCATCCCTCCTCCAGTAACAAAAAATTGGCAAGCCTGAGCCAGGAGTTGAATCTCACAAGGTATGGAAAGCATTTGGCTTTGGAACTTTTCTCTGTATCTGTCTCAGCCATGGTAAGTCTTGTTCACCTCCCCTACTCCATAGTCTGCATGTTTCCTCTCTGGGACAGGCCATCCAAGTGTGGACAACAGAGGCAAAGATGAATGAGGAGAAAGGGGGAAGGGAGAAAAGTCCTCCTCAAGTTGTTTTGTGGTACCACCCAGGCTTCCTAGCCTTTTGAGTGACTCACAGTCCTAGGACCGAAAACATAAAATGGATTAGGAATCTAAATGGCATGTGGCTGAGGACTGGAGCTGTTTCTCTGTCCTAACAACCTAGATTTTTTCCACCTAATGCTAAACCTCTGAATCTGCCTAAACTCTCTACTAACAGTTTTCTCCTTTAAGTCTTCCTTTTGAGATGGGCCATTTTTTCATCACAGACATGTCAAGACTAAGGAATAGAACAGGTCATGTCCAGGCTTTGTGCAGTTCATGTACAGGGTTGCTGTAGGCAACCTCTCCCGGTCCAGGTACTATGCAGTCAGCAGTTACAGATCCATGCCTTCCACCCACACACTCTGCATGTGAATCACCCATGCAGTCTCATGAACCACATTGGCCTGCAGGACATAGGTGCAAGTGCCTGGACAATGGTCCTCAGAGGCACCCATGGGCTGGATGAACTAAACAGGGAATTTCAGTTTTCCTGTCCAAGCTTTTCTTTATCTTCTACATATGCCCCATTTGTTTAAGATTGGGACCTCAATATTCTGGGTATTAGCTAAAAGGCCAAAGTACAGTCACCTTCTTGGGTTCTATGAATTCATTAGGCATTTGGGGTTTTATCATTATGACGGACGCATTCCTGAAATTAACTCGAGGGGCTAATTTATTCTACCTTTTCCATGCTTTGTAAGATAGCCAGGTACCATCAGTTTCAATGGAGATGTAATCCTTTTTACCTTTAACAGTCCGTCCCTTTCCAAGCCTGACAGGCAAATTCTGATTTTAGAAATCAGGCTCCTCAAAGCAATCACTACAAAGACAATTTTTGGTATAAAAACAGTGGACTTGTGCATCCTGTATCATTTGTCTGGAAGAGGATATGCCACTTCTGCACCCAAAAAACTTAAAAAAAAAAAAAAAAAGATATGAAGTTTTCGAATGGGAAATCCAGTGATTAACAACACATTTCAGTCATGTTCAGCATTATTCAGCAACTGCTCAGAAAGCCTGAAAAGTCAGGCCAAAGATCTTAAAGGGAAATGGTTACTATGGTTCCAGAACCTATAATTTGGAAATTTGTAAAAACTTTGGACCCTGATACTTGGGCAGATAAATCTGTTAAATCTCATATGACCACAATGGTCACAACTTGGAAAAGAGAAGAGTCAGGAGATTGGGACTAGAAACTACAAGAACAGGAAAGCCTCACTGAGTAAAGTTAAGTATATCAGTTCTAAAATGTTATTCAGTTCAATACTGGAATGCATCATTTTGTTATGACACATTTTTCTCTTTTTAGTCTTCTTGTCATACTCAGTTGATCATTTTGCCTCTTTCCTGGGATTAATTTCTATTCAATAACTAGGAAAAATGACTGCCATCACATTGTCCTAAAAAAATGGAAATGTTTCAGGAAATACATTTAGGGGGGAAAAACCCAAAAAACCACCCTTTGCGGTCAGGTGCACTGGCTCATGCCTGTAACTCCTGCCACTCGGGATGTAGAGATTGAGGTCCAAGGCCAGCCCTGGCACAAATTTAGTGAGACCACATCTCAACCAATAAAGCTGAGTGGTGGTGTGCCCCTGTCATCCCAACTATGCAGGAGGTGTAAACAGGGGCATCACGGTCCAGGCAAGCCCAGGCAAAGACATGATACCCTATTTCAAAAATGACTAGAGCAAAAAGGGCTGGAAGCAAGGCTCTGGGTGAAAAAACAAAAGCAAAAATCCTAGTACCACAAAACACACAAACAAAAACCAAAACTCTTTGTGTTCAATATCTAAGTGACTATTTTTTCACTACTTTTTATTCTATTCAGTGCTTTACCTGCTGTTTAATAGTCTGAACTGCCACTAAAAACCAGAATCAACAATGATAAAGTGTGCTTTACTTTTTAATTATTAATCATTTACTTTTCCACACCTCCCATTTTTATCTGTAGCAAGGCCCAAACTTCCCCAAAGGTAGCTTGGATGAGTGATTTTGCATAATCACAATAAAGCTGCCTTTTGGGAAATCCATGATTCAGAACGATCTAGAAGTAATCATTGTAAAATACAGGCTGAACTGGAAGACGTCTACATTTACTGAGTAGACAGCTCAACAATGCATTCAGTGCTGCTCTTATGAGTTGCCCTGGCATTCTTCAGAATTATAAGACCTTTAATTCAGGACAAAATGGAGCAGCATAACAAATCTGTTTTCTGGGGTTGGCCCAGATCCAGCATTTTTACTCCTAGCAAAGACAGAGCAATGATGAAGTGTAATGTAAACACTGCTATTAGAAAGGGAAAAACACTTTTTAACTTTATCGTTCCCCAGCTGGCTTGATGAACTAAGGTCAAATTGAAGCCTGCATTCTTGAACTGACAGTAAAAGAACAAACTAAGTCATTTGATTGGATGTCTTAATAAAGAAAGAAAAGAAATAAAACCGATAATTCAAAGTTGATTTGAAGGTACATGAAAGAGCAGGAGAAAATGTCCTGGATTGGTTATGAGTAGCTATTATACCAGTGTTTTTTTAGAAAAAGATGACTTCTAGCTCTTAGGAGCAACAGACTCACCTCACCAGATAGTCAATGAAGTTTACAACTCTCTCTCTGAGTACTTCAAACTTGGTTTGCTTCTTACTTGTTCTTCTTAACTCCTTCATTTCCAATAAGGACTATGGGTGAAAGAACATATCTTTTCTGGTGACAGTGAAACAGAAAAACCTTCAGAAGGGGACATTTACTCAGGCAGAGGCAACCAATGCCCTTTTCAGAAGGCAGGGTGGAGTTTTATTTTTTACTTAGAAGGTCTGACAAGAATCTCTCCTCTTAGATGTTTTGTTTTAAATATACATTAAGTGAATTTTCAGGGAGAAAAGGAGACGTTAATGTCATTGCTCAGTTACTACTCAGAATTCAATTGTTCACTTAAGAAAAAGAAAAAAAGGGGGAAGAAAAGTAGAAAGAGGTAGAAGTGAAAGAAGAGAAGACAAGGAAAAAGAGAACATCAACCACCACCACCACCACCTTGCTTTTTTGTCATACTAACAGAATAGATTCTACATGCTTTGTTTCACTAAGACTGAAACTTTATGCTACATTTACCATAACTTGGTATTATGGTACAAAGAAGGTTTTGCATTTTAAAAATCAAGATCCTAAAGTGAGAACTATCTGAAAAGAATACACTGGACATACTGTGGTTCAAATTTCTGCTCTATACTGTGATTACACAATAAAAAAGTAAAGAAAAGTATTTAAAACTAATGGGTTAGGCTCTTTTGACCTAACCAACCAACCAAAAAAAAATCAGATAAATAATCAGGGTTTTTGTTTGGTTGGTGTTTTGCAACCATGTTTGTTCCCATTTTTCTTTAGTACTAGTAATTCTGTTTCTACCCATGTTGTATAATAAATTGGTGACTGTAGAGCTGAAGATGGCAGCAGGATAAACAGGATGCTCCATTTGTAAGTAAGTTATAAAGTTTGTATTTCTCCTGGCTGTGGCTTAAAAATGAAAACAAAACCATCTAGGCAGAGTTAATCTAGAGCACAAACTGAAAAAAGGGAGCATCACACAATATAGCTAGAAGGAGAAGAAAGACACCTGACCTTCTGCAGATGATAGAGATCTGTCTTCTGTAGGCCCTTTGGCTGTGACCCAGAAGCTTCTTCTTCTTCTTTGGCTTCCACTTTTAATATAAAAGCAACACACAGCAGCAATTAGGATAAACCCAAGTCAAGAGAACAAACATTTGTATCAATCCAAAGAAAATAAATTTTACTTTTTCTTTTTTTAGTGTGGTAAGGGATCAAGGTGTCATCAGATAAATGATTTCTCTCAGAAGATGAAGATCAATAAATATTACATAAATTATGTTGCTGTGAGTTCAAAAAACCAGCTACTGAATTTTAAGTGTTACCACAATGAAACCAAAACATAATCAAACAAAATCCCCTTAAATCAACAGTGAAAAGCCTCAAATATTTGTATTATAAACACCTATAAAAAAAAATCAAACAAACTTAAAACTATTTCCCTTTGACTATGCCAAGGTTGTAAACAACATAATCTGCACCTTAGCAAACCTGGTCTCCACCTTCCAATTCACTATTTTTGACCTAACAGTGAGTATGAAAAGAGTACTATGGTGAAGTAATCCACTGAAAACATAAAGTGTATGATAGCTCCTTATCAAAGAAAACAAAAACCCCTAACTGTTAGAATGTATTGCTGTGCTTCTTCCGGAGGGCATGTGGCTCTGATAAAGTGCAAGCTGTGCTGGGAACCTGACACTCATATGATTTGGCCCAAATATAAGACAGAAGGAATACAGCTGGAGAATATGCATTATTCTCAAAAACATGCATTTCTTCTCATCTATTGATAATTCCTGGCTCAAGAAAGGCATGATTTAAGATTACAATATCTATTAAACTCCTTACTCCATTTCATTAATATGTATCAGAGCCTTAAAAGTAATTCTGATAGGACACTCTGTCCTATTTAACCCTCTCCAGATATAATTTTAAGTCCAAACTGTAATGTGTAATTAGTGCCAAGGAACCAGAGAGCAAACAGTCAAATATTTCTATTTATCCAATGAGATTAGTAACTTTGTAACTAACAAAGATTTTTTTTGAAAATCAAGAAATAGACATTTCTTCAAGATGGCTGACTGTCTTAATCTTTAATTTTCCCATTTGAAAAAGCTACATCCCTTTAGTGCTAGTGTATCATGTAATTTGTTCACTAGCTCATGAACTCTAAAATTATGACATCTGCAGTTTCTTTTTACAGAAATCCTCATGAGTCCATGAGCATTTTACTCATGTAAAATACTGAAACTTATCTAACATCTTACATTCTTCTAAGCCTTTGACACAATTTATGTCCTTAAGGGTAGGCCTTCCCTGTGCATGGATGATCTGTGGCTGAGAAAGGTAGGCTATAGTCTGGGTGCTACCTACTAGAGCTATCTGTGCAATCTCAAGCAAGTTTCTTTCTTTCCCTGGACTCTAGCTGCTGATTGTAGCTGGACTCAATGATCCAACTTCCAACCCCTTAACATTTTTAGGCTCTGAAAATTGGCTGATGCTATGATGGCAAAAGAACAATATCTACACATCAACTGGAGGGAACCCCCTTAGTCCTGTAGCGAACTTCCTCATTCTGTCTTTCCAGGCCACTATAGCCAGGCAAACTTTCCCTTTCATCTTCTACAATGAACAGTCAGTAGGTGCTCTGTGCTAGAACTACTGAGAAATACAGATTTTTCAGTATCTATAGAAATCTATAGAAAAATATAGGTTTCTGAATCGAACTTTTTTTGATTTTTTTTCCAGTACTGAGGATTGAACTCAAGGCCTCTAGCTTGTCAGGTTAAGTGTGCTACCCACTAAGTGGTACTCCCAGCCCTCCAATCCTTTCCTTTTTGTTTGTTTTTCAGATAAGGTCTCACACTTCTGTTCCAGCTAGTCTTCTACCTCCTGAATAGATGGTACAGTGTTTTCTTTTTTCTTTAATTATTATTATTTTTTTTTGTGGTCCTGAGGTTTGAACTCAGGGCATTGTGCTTTGTACTTCACTACTTGAATCACATCTCCAGTTTCCAGACTGTTTCTGAGACAGGGTCTCACTAATGTTTTCTCATGTATCCTCAAACTTTGATCCTCCTGTCTCCAGTTTCCAAATAGCTGGGATTACAGTCATGTACTACTATGCCTGGCCAAATCCAAAAGATTTGTAAAAGTTTGCCAAAACAATTAAAGTGGGCATTCCAAATAAGATACTTTCACTATGTCATTTCTAATTCTATGAGCTTATGCACTAAAGCTGCTTCTGTCCCCAAATGTCATTAAATCTTTCCCTAAATAGGGAATAAGTACAATTTTTGTTTTAACCTAAAGAATACCATACTCAATGCTAGAAACAGAGAAAGAGAAGAGCCCATGAAAAGTAAATGATCAGTATCAAGCTGTGGGGTACCATAAGAACACAAAAGGCCTAGCACATTAGGGAAGAGAACATGACTACCTACACAAAATCAGGAAACCCCAAGCAAATAAAAATGATCATGGTCTTGCAAAAGAAAGGCCACTACAACCTTCCAATACCAAGGAGTGCCAGGTTGCCTCAGTTCATTTTGGACTGAAAGATGCAAGCTTTTGTAAATCTGATTAAAGCCAGCCTCATGCATATTCTGTAAATCAGCATACCAATGAGCCTCTTGACTGTACAAGCAGTTGATAGCTATTAATTTTTCAGGCTTAAAATGATTTATGCAGAATGTCTGAAATCCATAAAGAACTTGATGAAATACTTAAGGAAAACACCTAAAAGGAGCCCCCTTAATTATAATGCCCTGCTATTCTCTCCAATCTTTTTCTTTCTGTTGCCTTTTTCTTAGATAAATCCCAACTGTCCACCTGAAGAATTTTTTTCTCTGTTTGATGCTCTGCATTGTTTGAACCAAATCTAAGAGAGAAGCAGCTTGCTTTTTTTTTTTTGAGGCTTTGGCATAGTGACTGATCAAGAACTACTTCATTTCTTCATCTCTCAGCACATCAGGACCATGGGGTTTCCATGTCAGTTTGCTTAGCTGAGTGGCACTGCCAGTAGAATTGGCAGGATATTATACTCTCACCATCGAGGCTCTGAAACTCAGCCAGGAACTCCTCTATTCTCTTTGCTGTGCTGCCAAGCTGCTTTTCAGAAGAGGAATTAAAAACCTTGAAACATTTCTGGAGTATGGTCATCAGTTCATCCTTTGCCAACATCCTGGAAAAGAGTGACAGGAGATGTAATGTGACTGGAAAATGAATATACTTAAAAACATTTTTTACATAAATATTTCTGCTCAGAAGAAGATGGCATAAAATGTTCTATAGTAGTTCCCACAGTTTTTGGAGAGCTTTTCCTTAATGTATGAGACATTCAGAAGTACTCTTGAAGAGTTCTTAGCGTAAAGTGTAGCATAGAAAATAAAGATCTGGGTTCACAGCTTGGCTCTGACACTTGATTCTTAGCTTCCTTGTCTTTAAAATAGAAATTATAACTTGCACATTTCACAGGTTAGCTGGAGACGAAAAAATTAAATGAATGAAACATGACATGTTAAATGCAAGCTTGCTTGAAAGTACCAAAAATGTAAGTAACATAATCATTTTTCTAATTATTACCATTTAAACTACATTTTCTATTTCCTATGGGCCTTATTAACATCACTCAGTAACTCTAAATAAGTTTCAATAAATCAGAAAATTTTGCTCATTACTCACGGCACAGGCAAAGTGGCTGAGTAACTCATTCAAGGCCTCAGCAAAAATCTTGATTAGAAATGGAGAGGGAACACAGATACTCCAAAATTAGGAACCTCCCTCAGAGCCATTACTTACAGAATCTCTCCACTAAAATCACAATAACAGCATGAAATGGTATCAGAGTCAATGTTATGTAGGTATATAAATTATTTAAGACCACAATGATCAAAAGTTCTAATATTAACCATGAAGAAACAATCAGTCAAATCCAGAATATGGAACCATTCTGCACAACTAACTGATGTCTGACTTTTTTTATAATAAAAAATTTGGTTAAAATACTAATATTATTGTGTTAGTAGAAACAGATGTAAAGGTAAGTAGATTATGACTACCAAGAAATTAACTGGTTACTTTGACTAAAATTTAAATTAAAAAAAAAAAAAGCCACAGAATCTGGTGGGCAAATAAAAAGAAATATTTCCCCCAGTACATAATCTTCTGCTTCTATGATAATTACCTAAAGTATAATTGTTTATGTAAGAATGAAAAATAGGTAACAGGTCAAAGAAAAATAAGCTAAGACATTTTGCTCTTGATTACATTAGATAATTTAAATTTCCTGCTTTTCTATTGCCCAGATGGTATTAAACGTTAAGTTAGACGCACTTGAACAATTTGTTCTACCTGACCTTTAGCCTTAATCGGGCAGACAACCTCAGCATTTCCAGTGTCCAAGGAATCACCAGCACTGGCTGTGTGTGGAGGGTGAAGAGGATGAGTGCCGGGGAAGTCTAACCCATATTAGCAGCTTCCCAACTACAGGCAGCCACATTTCACAACCATTTTGCACTCCAAATAACAGAATATGGAAGGCAGCCAGGCCTATTCTATTATTAATCTTGGAGATGCCAAAAAATGGCATTTAGTCATATTACTTTGAAGCCAAAGTTTATTAACTTTTAATGTGCCATTTGACTGGAGGAGATAGTCTTTCACCTCAGATGTAAACTTCCAGACAGTTATTGCTCTTGTTATTCTAAACCAAAGATTATGTTCTGTTTGCAGAATACTAAGAAATCTTCTAATTTTCCAAGTACTCTCCAGTTTCATGTAAAACAGTAAGACATGAGGTAAAGATGAGCAGTAAGTACTTAAATTACCCCATAAAATCATACATTTTTTCCAATAAAGTTATAGAGACATAGAATTCACAAAGATTCCTGCTATCAGTATTATTACTCATTATTATAGACTTTCATCACTATAATAAAATTTGAAAAAGTAACTCCAGCACTGAGGAGGCAGAGGCAGGAAGACTGCAAGTTTGAGGGCAGCCTGGGATACATTAATAAAAAAACAAACAAACAAACACTGACCCCGCCCCCCAAAGAAGTACACATTAGCAAAGATGAAGCTCATTATTTGCATATGATGTGACTAAAGGGTGGCTGTGTGAGTATAAGATAAAGATGTGTGAGTATGTACACTTGTATGTAAATGCAACCAATACCTTATATTAAACTATGTAACACAAAAAAAAGAGTATGTTCAAACATGGCAACAAAGGCAGAACTGTGCTAGGAGAGGTTGTGTCTTGATTCTTTCTGCAATCTTCATTTCTTCCCACCATGTGAGATCAACATCTAAACCCAGAGGAAGAAGAGATGAAAAAAAAAAAAAATCTCAACCAGTTGAGCCTGTGGTTGCTCAGCAGTCTGGTGAATAACCTCAACCAGAACCACAACAAAAGTCAATATTACACCAGTGCAGGTTAAGAGAAGATGAAGGAGAATCTGAGGCTTAAGGACCTGACCTGGAAGTCAATTTCCAGGAACAGTCTCAGGCAAAGGCTTGGTGCATCAGATCTCTAGAGCCCACCAAAGTGCCAGAAGCAGGCAAAGGGCAATCAGAGGCTTAAATGAAGATAAGCTGAAATGATGCAAACTTTTTAAACTGGATATCTGACTCTGAACTCTCTCAAAGTTTCACAGTTTTCTCAAAAAAAAAAAAAGGCAATAAAAACTACAGAGTACTCAGCAATGTACTTCATAGCAAATTTATAAGACCTACAAAAATGTGAAAGCGCTCAATAAATCAATAGTTTAAGTTGTAACAATATTAACAAAGATACAAATAATTCCAAATTAATTTATAACTTTAACTGTGTGAAACAAAAATTGTTCTAAAACCAATTCTGATTAAAATAAGTGTTTCTGGAAAAAAGAGGGATAATGTGTGTGTCCTCTGAGTATATGCAGTAGGGCTATCAATATATCAAAAGTATGGGCTGGGGCATAGAATGTTTGCCTAACAAGTGTGAGAGGCCCTGAGAATTCAAAACCTGTACTGCCAAAAAAAAACTATAAGCTTCAATGATTAAAATTAGATGGTACCAGGCCAGGCATGGTATCCTACACCTGTAATCCCAGCTACTCTGGAGATAAAGATAGGGAGGGGGCTCATGGTTTCAACGCAGCTCAGGCAAAAAAAGGTAGCAAGACCCAATCTCAACCAACAGCTGGTGTGTTAATGAGCACCTGTCACCCCAGCTATTTGGGAAGCATATTATCACGGTCCAGGCCAGCTTGGGCAAAAAAGTCAAGATGCTACCTATAAAATAATTAAAGGTGGGGGGCAGCACTAGGGGTATGGCTGAAATGGTAGAGCACCTATGTAGCAACCATGAGGACCCGAGTTCCACATCCAATACCACTTTAAAAAAAAGTCAGATGGTACTTAGACAGGAATAGAGAGGTCATGAGAAAAGAATAAAAATGCAGAAAGAGTTCAAGGTACACATGGAGTTTGATATATACCAGAGGTAGCATTCTGGATCACTGGGGAAGAAATGTTAGGTGCTGGAATTAACTATTTTGAAAAAAATTACCTCACATTATGTATACAAATATAATTTCAGACAGAATAAAATAAAATAAAAATGTAAGTATGTTTGGGAATAGGGGATGGACAAGCCCATCAATCATAAAACATAAAAGAAAACAAGATACTTACACATGATAAACCCAGTACCAGCAAGAGTGTGGGGAAGCATACTAATATATTGCTGGTGTAAATGTACCTTTATAAGTCTCTATTAATGTATGCATTTTGTGGAAGTAATTATATAATGTGCAAACCTGTATGCTTGTGATTACTGTTTGGAATCGTGAAGAGTTCTATCAAATAAGGGATGATTATGTTTTATAGCAATGATACACAATGAGTTAGTGATATTAGTGATAACTAACATTTATATGTGTCTAAATGTATAAAGTGTCATGATAGAATACTTTATGAGGTAGTTTTATTCTCATGTATGAGGTAAGGAAACAGAGGTAGAGAGAATTTTAAGTAACTTGTCCAGATTCCCAACATCGGTAACTGACAAAGCTGAGTTTTGAATCTAGACACTTTGGCATGACATCCATTCTGGGGGAAGGGCAACAGTTGCCTTACATATTCCAGGCTGGTCTTGAACTCATGATCATCTTGTCCATCCTCTCAAATGCTAGGATTATAGGCATGCACCACCATGTTCATCCATGTTCTTACTACCAACCACATATGCTGCATCTCAAAACACAGTGTCTATGTTTAAGAAGGTGTAAGGAGGCTAAGATGATTGACATGGAGAGAGCCGGAGATGCAGTCAGAGAAAAGAATGGGGGTGGGAAAGATCACGTGGTATCATTATATAGACTATGGTTTTTACTCTGAAAGAAATGGGGACTTAATGGGTAAGTAACATTATTGGGTATGTTTTAAATAGACTATTCTGCTTTGAGAAAAACATGCAGGGGAACATGTATGAAACTAGGAAAACCAGACAGGAGGCTAATGCAGTAATCCAGGTGAGAGACAACAATGACTTAAAACACAGTGATACCATTAAGGAAGAGGAGGTCTCGTTCTTGATAAATACTGGAGGCAGAACACAGGTTTTTGGCTTGGACAATCAAAAGAATGAAGAAACTGCAGAAAGATACTAGATTTCAGGATTCTCATCATGAGTTCAGTTTTGGATACAACTTAGAGATGTATGTTGGATATCTAAGTTGGAGGTATTGGATGGGTAGATGGACATAATAGTCTGGTGTTCAGGAGAGGAGTTTGGGGCTTATGACGAAGAACCAGGGCACTGTCATCAGAGAGAATAGAAAGCACCAAAGAGACTGAGAAGGAGCACGAGCTGAGGAAGGAGGGAAACAAAGAGAATCTGAGTCCTGGAAGTCACTATGTAATCAGTGATGCTTCCATAACATAATTGTCAAGTGCTGACTATAGCTTATGGAAATAAAGAGAACTGACCATTAGGATTAGGAACATGTAGGTCACTGGAAACGTTGATGAAACTAGTTCTTATGGAATGCAAAAGCCTAACAGGAATCAGCTTAAAAGACAATGAGAGGAGAGGAACTGGAGACAGTATGATAATGCCTTTTGATTTTGGTATATTCCAACCAATATTCTATTTAAAAAATAGAATAAAATTTAAAAGAAAATACCCAAATTTAA